TCACTCTAAAATGCACAATTCACATATTCACTCTAAATTCTAAAATTACTAGTATTGTTCAACCTAAAATGCACAATTCACAGATTCACTCATTCAAAGTTCACAGAATCACAACAGAAGTTCATAACTTCACTGATTCACAATAAAAATTCAACACTTCATCCCTGAAATTCTGAAAACAACAAAGAGGTCAGAGGATTTACCTGGTCGGGCAGTCGGGCAGAGGAAGAGGCGGTCCGCGGTCGGGAAGAGGAAGAGGCGGTCCGCGCCTCCACGGTCTCCGGTCGGGCAGAGGAAGAGGCAGTCCGCGCCTCCACGGTCTCCGGTCGGGCAGAGGAAGAGGCGGCTGCCGGCGCTCCGTCGCTCGGTCACTTCAGGCTGGGACGCTGGGTGTCGCTCGGACGGCTCGGTCGCTGCTCGCTGGCGTCGGACGCGTCGCTGAGTCGCTGCTGCAGTGCTGCCTTCGTTCCGCAGTTCGCTGCTGAGTCGCTGAGTCGCTTCGCCGGAGTTCGCCCTTCGCCAGTTCGCCCAAAATCCAAATCCCAATGGCAAGTTCCGCAGTTCGTTACTTCCGCAATCCGCAGGCTGGGAGACCGACGGTAAGAGGCTTACACATTTAGGAATTAGGCAGAGGTGGGCTGATTTTTCTGGGCTGGGCTGGGAATTATTTGTGGGGTGGGCTGACATTTAAATTTAGGGTGGGCTGAGAACAAAAAACAAACCTATCCTATTAAAAAAAAAATTGGGCTGGGCTGAAGCCCACCCCTGGCCAAGGCACCATCCGCCCCTGAGGTTGGTCCAGTTCTAGGTTATCTATGGTACGGTCTAGAACTGGTTTGTTCTCTAGTTCTATTACCATAAAAGGGTTGGTTCTGAAAACTCGGTTTTTGATTTGTTTGAGAATTTCTTGGAATGTATCCGAGACCAGCAGTCTCGTTTTCCTTTCTTTTGTACCGAGAGGGTCCAGTTCTAGAATGCTGTCTAGACCTGGTTCTTACCTTGGTACTATATGGTTGGTATTCCGGTTTGTTTTTAAAATCATGTCTCTCGTCCTCAAGGCGATTGAGATGATTTATGAGCAAGGCAATGTCCGGAATTTTTCTTAGAAGTTTTTCTTCGTCATTAACTTGTTTATTCATATAATCGAGCTTGAGTGAGCAAATGAGGTTATCTTGTTCCAAAACCACTTCACTGTACTTGAGCCTTTCATCTATTAACTCTCCCACTTTTGTTTCCAGCCTTATCTTGGCTCTAGTGGCTTCCTCGAGTTTAGACTCAAGTTCGGTGATTTGTGATTTAAGATTATCGTTTTCAGAAAGACTTTGATTTAGTTCGATTGTTAATCTTTTGAAAACCTTTCGGACCTTGCCTTTAGAGAGGGAATCAAATTTAGAAAGAAAGCTCTCCAAATTTACCTCGAAATTCTCTTGGTCGGATTCTACATCGGAATTAGCCATGAGGCACAATCCAGCATGATTTAGGTCCTTTTCTTCTTCTTCTTCTTCATCATCGGATGAGTCTCCCCAGGCTGCCATCATTGCCTTTTTGAGGTCTCTGTTGAATCCTTTATCTTCACCGGACCTCCGATGGGAACTGGTCTTGTTCTTGTCGTAGGTTCTATCATTTTTCTTTTGAGGACAATCTTTTGCCCTGTGCTCAAAGGAACCACAAACGAAACAACCTTGGTTATTAAAAGATTGGAAACCCTTTTTACCTTGTTTATTTCGGTTGCCTTTGAATTTTCGGTACATCTTTCCGAATTGCTTGGCGAACATGCTCATTTCATCTTCCGATTCACTTCCGGATTCTTCTTCTTCTTCTCGAGCCTTGAGAGCTATTCCTCGCTCTTTTCTCACATTTTCTGCATCTTGTTCTTCTTGTAGGCCTAGCGCGTATGTCATGAGTGAGCCAGTCAAGTCTTCTAGCGTCATGGTAGAGAGATCTTTAGCTTCTTCTATTGCTGTAGTTTTAGGCTTCCATGCGGATGGCAAGCTTCTCATAACTTTTCTCACCTGATCTTCTACAGTAATATCCTTTCCAAGTGCTGAGAGCTCATTGATAATATTAGTAAAACGTGTAATCATATCCCTAATTGATTCTTTAGGCTTCATCACGAATAATTCGTAATTACGCATAAATATGTCAATTTTGGATCTTTTTACACGCGAGGTACCCTCATGCGTAATCTCAAGTAAATCCCACATTTGTTTTGCGGATTTGCATCCAAGAACACGGTTGTGCTCAGCCGGACCAAGTCCACAAATCAAATATTTCAATGCTTGAGCATTATGCTCGAGTTTACAATAATCATCAGAGGTATATTCAGATTTGGGTTTAGGGATAACATCACCTTCGGCATCTTCTTTAGTAATGATGTTATCGCCCACTTCAATTACGTTCCATACCTGGTAGTTCTCAGCCTTGATGAAGTTCTCCATTCGACTCTTCCAGAATTGATAAAACTTGCCGTTGAACAACGGTGGTCGTTGAGTCGAGTATCCTTCCTCCAATCGTTCAACCGTATTCATGCTGCCGGATCTCTTCCCAAGGTATTAACCTTTCTGTGGTGAAGACCGGCTCTGATACCAATTGATGAAACGGTTAGCAACACAAGAGGGGGGGGGGGGGGGGGTGAATTGTGTGTGTGTGGAACCGTGACAGTTTTTCGCACAGTTCTAGTGTGGGGTTCAGGGATTTACGAAATAATAAAGTGCACAGGATTTAACGAGGAAAAATCCCTTGGCTCAAAGGGATTAAAAAACCTCGACCTCCCTCGGAGGAATTTGAACAACTTCACTAAAAAGCCTTTGAATGATTACAAGGGAAACTCTCCTAGTCTACCCTTGAGCCACCCCAACTCTATCCTTTCTAGGAAGAGTTATGCTTCTCTACCTTGTGGGTAGAGAGCCTCTCAGCTTTACAACAAAGCTCTCACAACACACTAACTGACCCGAGGATGCTACACTTAGTCAATCCTCAAAAACCCAATTACAATATGAAGAAAGGAAAAGAAAACTCTGTTTGGAACTCCGTGAGCAGGTTCTGGTGCCTTGGACTTAGTAGATATTCTTGTGTATATTTCTCAATAGAGGCTTAGTCAAGCACACCCTTTCGTCTGGTCCTTTGTCCAATATATATAGCATCCGTAGCCTCTTCTTTCCTTTTATTCAAAGATCTTCCGGCTCACAATTATGGTGATCCTCGGTCAACCATATATATATGGAAGTATATTATGAGTAAATCACTTAATAACAAAACAGATATGGAGAATATTACGTATCACATATAAGGAGAATATTTTATTTTCCTAATATAAGCATCCAACGGACATTATGTAGCAACAACTTATTTATATAATCAATGATTAGTTCTCTTTAACAAGTTTGAATATGTAACGATCATATAAGTAAGATATTCAAATAAGGTGCTACAGATCATGCAACCCAAGATACTTTCCATAATTTATCTTTTAATATAATGACTTTTTAACATTAAGTGATAAGGAAATATTTACTTAGTGAATCTAAATATGTTACGGTCAATTTGTGCAGGATATTTATGTAGCATAAATAATGATTCTTTCCATAAGCTATATAGGCCAACTCATAGAGGTGAGTGCTTAGTCATATACGGAAAGATATTTAAATTGTGCCACGTACATTAAGAATATGCATGATCAATCTAGGCATGTAGATGAGGTATTATCATGCAGGCACATATTAATTTATTCATTATGCACAACAATCATTCATATAGATCAGAACTAAGTATAGTTCTAATTCTCGTTCCTAATGGAACTGAGAGCAGTTCTGTCCGCCATTCCACCTACATGATTAGTCATCAACACAGTTTTTCAACTGAAGTAGTGTGAGTGATTTTTGTTGTAGCCTTTTAGTAATGGTAATAGTATATTATATCTCTGTACAATTTCAAACTGTTTATAGGCTATGAGGCTAAGAAACAAGTTCATGTTACAAGTTGAACATGATAACAAAAGTTTAAAATTTGAAACACTAAGCTGTATGTATAAAATTTTCTTTACTTATTATTTAGTATGCTATTTTAAATTAGTCATTTATGTGTGCTTAGGTTCATTTATGTTCCTTGTTCTCACACAAGTGAAGTGCTAACAGAGGTGTTAATTGAGGCAATGATGGAGTGGAATTTGGACTCGAGGTTATCTACCATCACAGTAGACAATTGCTCCACTAATGATAGCATGTTTGGTAAGTTGAAAACTAAACTGAATATATGTTTAATCTGTAACTTTTAATGAATGTCGTAACTTTCTCAAAATACTTTACAATTCCTCAAATGCAAGTAAAATATTTGATCTCATAAATACATAAATAAATACACACACAAATCTAGAGTTCGTTTGTGGATATATGGTTAATCTATAACTTTTAATGAATGCATTGTAAATGAATTGGAACAGTAGCTTTAGAGCTCCGATCTATCTTTCCAACGAGATATAATACGCTCCAAACAGATAAACGCACAGCAAGATATGAGTGTCACAAATACTCAGCCTTATCTCTATGATTTAGCGATTTCAGCGAAAATAGAGTACTTTTAGCGTAAATACAGTAGTGATCGATGTTGTGGTCTGTTAGAATAATACGAGTAAGTTTCAAAAATAAAAAAGGATGTTTGAGAAGGGAATTGAACCCGGTAGCTTTTTGAAATCGCGTTTGAGACCGTTCCACCGCTCCGGTCTTTTGTTCATTGGAGTTTTTTGTGTATATGAATATAAGTAAGTATTTTTGGAAGTCCATGACCCATGGGGTCCCGGAACTCCGTGGGACTCTTAGTGGGCCTGCCACTGTTCATGCATAGAGAAACGGGGGGAGGAATAATTAAACAACACATACACTTACCACTCGCATTTTGTTTTTGCAATTGCGTGACGTCAGAAATAAAATACCACGTAGTGAATATTTTGTACATAAATTGCATAGAAGAAAAACAATTACAGTATTGAAACGATTAATCATCAGTTTATAATAAAAGAAATAAACATGGTATAAAATATTTCGTGGGTAAGAACCCAATCAAATCATCGATAACGAACGGCCTAGTCTAGTCTATGGCTAGATTTGGGAACGGCGGCAGGTGTATTTGCCAGAATCGTGCAGTTCAGGCGGAGTTGTGGCCAAGAGTATCGATCGGTAAGTATCTAGACAATTTAGAGCGGAGTACAGTGCACCAATACAGTGGGGTGTTGTTCGTGACTCAACAGCGGACCCTACGAGGTTTCTTGTACAGCTTCGCTAGTCGGCGGCGGCACAACATCTCTACTTCGGCGAGTACCTGCAATGGCTCTGTGGTGAGACGTTTCAAATTAGGCAGGTGACATTAAGACGACGGAAGACACCCACGTACAAAAAAATTGTGGATTTGGTGTTTTCTAGATTGGTGTCAATGGCTTTCGGTGATTTCGAAGGCGGTCGTGGATCTGCGATAAGTTGGGTTGCGAGATCCGACTTTCTGATGTTTGGTTTGACTTTTTTGACTTTGATGGTGGTTGAGATGGGAACTGTACCAAATGTGTTTGATCCGGGTGGAAGACTGGCGATATGGGTCCCAGTTAAAGGGGTCGAGTTTGGGATCCAATCGGCTATTGGGGGATCGACGTAGTTGTTTTGGCTGCCTCAGGTGGTGGATGAAGAAAATGGTATTGGATGATGCGTCCCCTGCCTGAACCGCCGCCATGAAGGACATGCGTGACTAGGATCTGAAAGAAAACGCTTGAAGAATGGATTCCGTTATTCCACCCGGTGATGTTTGTTTATTTTTGCTATGCTATGTTTGCTTATCTTTATTTTGTTTTTATTAGGTCAAATATTATGGGTGGTAGGTTCTTAGTTTGGTTTACCTTAGTTGCTAGATTTCTGTTTAGAGGCAATCAGGCTGACTCAACAGCTAATAGCCTCAAAGCTCACACATTTCCAGCGATTAGTGTCGCTCTTTTTGGGGTGGACTGCTCTATGTCTGATAAAGAAGTGAGGGGGCCGATGGGCTTACGGTTATGTTTGTTCAGAAGGAGGGCAATGTTGGATGATTTACTTTATTGTTTGCAATTCTCCTGGCTGTAATGCGAGTTTGATTTAATATAATATGTTGGTTTTCCTTAAAAAAACACATTCAAATCGTGAATTCGTTTTTACTCGAAAAGTGGAGTGGTCCATCGTAGCGCCTCTAAAACTCGGCTCAATAAAGGCTGTGGTTAGGATAGCGTCTGAATATTTGGCACATCCACAAAATGAACTATGGTGTGTTTGGAAAATAGGGTTCAGTAAACAATGCGGTTTGATCCATTTTAGTTTTTTCAATAACTTAAAGCGCTCTTTGGTAAATAATTGTTCAATCCTAGCGTTTTTCGACGAAATTACTGAAATGGAAACACGACAAATATGAGAGTTTTGAGTTAGCATTTTGAAATATTACTTTTTCCTACTTATTGTTATGATCAAACAACTAAATTATTAAATATCATCTGATAACCCGTCAACTTAATTTCCTATTGACAATCCGCTGAAAAGTAAAAAGAGGACACGAGTATGCTCAATTCGTCAGGTTAATAGCATTTGATTTGGAGATTAGCGTTTAAGGATGTTTTTACTTGGTCTGTAATTTGCTGGTCTGGTCTGGTCTAGTCTGGTCTGGTCTGTTTTGGTTTGGTCTGTTTTGGTCTGGTCTGTCTGGTCTGGTCTGAAATTTTATTTTTTATATGTTTTGCATAAAGATTTTATTTTTTATATATATTATAATCCATAAATAATTATATTTTATTCATTTATAATTACAAATAATAATAACAATAATAATAATAATTATAATAATAATAACAATAACAATAATAATAATAATAATAGTAATAATAATAAAAATTATTATAATAATTAGGGGTGTGCACTATCCAGTTTAAACCAAAAACCGGACCGAACCAGACCGGAAAAACCGGAACCGGATCGAAACGGAATGATATCTGGTCCGGTTCGGTCCGGTCCGGTCTGGTCCGGTTTTGAACCGGTGCACACCCCTAATAATAATAATAATAATAATAATAATAATAATAATAATAATAATAATAATTAGGGGTGTGCACTAGCCGGTTTAAACCGGAAAACCGGACCGAATCGGACCGGAAAAACCGGAACCGGATCGAACCGGAATGATATCCGGTCCGGTCCGGTTTTGAACCGGTGCACACCCCTAACAACAACAACAACAACAACAACAACAACAACAATAATAATAATAATAATAATAATAAAATATGGTCTGATCTGTTCTGGTCTGGTCTGGTCTGTTTTAGTCTTGTCTAGTCTGGGCTGGTCTGTTTTGGTCTAGTCTGGTCTGATCTGGCCTGATCTGGTCTGGTCTGGGATGAATTACAGTCCAAGTAAAAACAACCCAGTGCAAATTACCAAGAGTTTTGCTAGGAGTACCCCAAAATGTACCCCATTTTTACCCCAACCCCTAATTTGTGACAATTCATTTAAGTGGGGCAACACTTAAATGAATTGGTCTATTTATGACCACACATTAGAGAGTGAGGGTAAAAATGAGGTATATTTTGGGATACCTTTAACATTTGTGAATTACCAAAAACACTAAAACATATTGATGGACACATATTTAATGCTCCCAAGCCCGGATTGCTGAAGGAAGAACGATAGATAACTTCCCCAGTTTGATCATTTCCATTTGTCTTAAAAAAGAGGGAAGATAGGGACAAGGAATGGCCCGCCTTATGTGTTATGGCACCACGTCCACAAGCTTGCAAACTTGTGTGACTCGATACTTAATAATTTCTTTATTATTGATCAATGCAAAAGTACTCTATTGTCCATCTTTGTTCGTGACACAAAGATTTTCTCACTAATTTGATAGCGGAGGAGATTATAATAGTGACAAGGATATAAATTATTAAGGATACGATGAGAAAATAATGAAGTAATGTGATAAAATGAATGATAAATTCAAAAAAATATGTGTAATAGTGTTTTACTTTCCAAAATTTTGAGGATATAATGAGAAAATTTAAAAATAGAATGCTTTTGTTACGGTTGAAAAAGGAAAATGGAAAGATCTTTTTTATCCGATTCCCAGTTTGATCATTTCCATTTGTCTTAAAAAAGAGTTCCCTCTTTTTTAAGACAAATGGAAATGATCAAACTGGGAATCGGATAAAAAGATCTTTCCATTTGTGTTATGGCACCAGGTCCACAAGCTTGCTAACTTGTGTGACTCGACACTTAATAATTTCTTTATTATTGATCAATGGAAAAGTACTCTATTGTCCTATCTTTGTTGCGTTACAAACTTCTGTTTTTTCCTTTTGAATTCCTCTCACTAATTTGATAGCGGGGAGATTATAATAGTGACAAGGATATAAATTATTAAGGGTACGATTGAAAAAATAATGAAATAATGTGATAAAATGAATGATAAATTCAAAAAAATATATGTAATAGTGTTTTACTTTCCAAAATTTTGAGAATATAATGAGAAAATTTAAAAACAGAAAGCTTTTGTTATGGTTGAAAATGGAAAATGGAAAATGGAAAGATCTTTTTTAACCGAAGTGAGTATAATAGTCGGATACTCGGATGTATCTTGATCATAGTAGATTCAAGTAGTTTTGTGATATGTTGGAATTTTAACGATGTGAGCAAAACTCGCATATACTAAAATATGAAGCGTATGTAATTATTTCTTGGTATTTTTGCTTCTTATGTAACAAGAACTACCTTTTTGCTTCATTAATGTTTATTTGTGATCGAATATGTGCGATAAAAAATAGGTTTAAATATGTATTTTTCCCCTACAATAATAATTTCACATAACTACTAAACTGCTTTCGATCAAGTCAAATCAAATATTGGTTTGCTATTAAGTTTTGATTATTGCTTTATACGGAGTACGGAGTAGTTGTTCGTCACTGGTTTGTTCACTTGGTGAAAAGTATGATGATGATCTGACTTGTGTTACCCAAATGAGCTTCATTCATAAATTGTTGTCAATGATCAACACTCTATTTACAAAATATTTAAGTGCCATGGGTACATATTACACTAAAATTAGAATCGCCGGTCGAGTTTTATTTGATTGGGAGAACTAAGACAAAATAAACTCTCGAACTTTCATAAAAAGTGCAAATAACTTCTTTTATTTGAGGCTCTGTCCGGCCGTCTCCATTTGGAGCGGTTTCCGGTGGAATTTTTTGATGAAAACTTTTGAGCGTCTTCTTCATTAAGTCTTGTTTACTCATACCAAATTTCAGCTAAAAATTCAATTGAGAAAGTAGTCAAATGAATTTTTGAAAATAACTGCGCAGTTAAACGGCGTAGTATATTTCAGAAAATCAGTTGACTGCCTTCTTGATTGAATTTTTATCTGAAATTTGGCATGGGTAAACTAGACTTAATGAAGAAGATGTTCAAACAAATTCATCAAAAAGTTCCACCAGAAATTGCCCCAAATGGTGACAGCCGGACAAAGTCTCATGTAAAAACGATTATTAATTTGCACTTTTTATGAAAGTTTGAGGGTTTATTTGATAATTCTCTCTATTTGACTTGATCATTTCTTGTTATATTCTATTTCATGTTAAGCGTTTTTATTTCATTTAGGATGTATTTTATAGACAATGTTTTTTAGTCTGGTCAGAATCTAAGCTGGTCTGTTAAGTTTTGATAGATGTCTAGTTTCTGTGTATTTATAACTACCAAGTTTGATCTGGTCTCGTCTGTTCTGGTCTGGTTTTGTCTGATCGGATTTGATATGATATGATCTGGTATGAGATGGAAAACACTTCCAAGTAAAAATATTCTTAGAATTAGTTTACCAAAATATTATTACATGCAATAATAAAATGACATTCTTGACAATAATAGATATATACAACACCAATTTAACGTGGATTGTTTGGACCAATTCATCACACGAAGCATACACGTGGGTTTTAGTTTGACGGATTCTGACGGTAGTGGAGTGAAGATGAGAAGATGTAATAGCCAGTTTGTTTTTAACTTGTGATCCTGGAATTGTTATGTTCTTTTCTTATTAAAAGAGTATGGCCTTAATTAATGCTAGCTCTATATATCCTAGTTTGTAGGATCAGGCATGAAGCTAGTTTTTTTCTTTATTCATTTTTAGTATTGAGAAGCAATATGCAATAGTCTTATTCTTCCATTTCAATTTTTTTATCAAACATGTAAAACCTTCAAACATTCTTGTTCTTTTCTTGAATTCTAGCTGTTTGCTCTATTTTTTTACTCATAATTACAATTAAGTTGCATGGCATTTCTTCATCAAGTGCAAAACTCCATAAATATATGTAAATCACCTCTTCTTTTTCCCTAGGGATCTGAACAACTATCTAACAAAGTGCTTTGAACCCATCCCAATACAAGAGGTATGTTATCATATTCAATTAAGATCATCACTTTATCATATCATATCGCTCTATAAGATCACTTTTTAGGAGTTTAATTTGGTCGTATGGCTTTCTTGAAATGTTTTAGTATATTTAATTAGGCCAATATATGAAATGGGCATTATTCGACAATAATAATCGATGTTCATAAGAATTTTTCATATGTTTTTCACCCTTAAAATTTAATAATCCTCACTTTTTACATGATTTAAAATTAGAAATAAGAATTCTTTTTTACTATAGTGTTGCTTGGGACAGAGAATGGTGCTACTATTATATACTTCTATTAAGTGACCCTGACTTGAATCCCATTCATCATATAAGTCGAAGTGGCGATGGCAATGTGCTTCCCATAGTTATATAGCAAGAAAATGAAAGTTGTTTAGATAAAAGTTAATGGAATGAAAAATATTATGAATTACATTTCTAATTAAATAATTTTTTTTAATTATTTTTTTAAAAATAATTTTTAAAAATTTTTAAATTTTTACTGGGAGGTAGTACAGGCGGGAGGTATTATAATTTTTAAATATTATAATTTTTAAATTTTTAAAAATTTTAAAAATTTTTAAATTTTTTTAAATTTTTAAAAAAGTTTACACGTGGGTACTGGGAGGTAGTACAGGCGGTGGGAAAGGCATCCATATTTTTTTAAAATGTTTTACGGAGTTTTACTATTTTTTATTAATTTTTTTAAAAATAAAA